TTTTACAGCAGCAGAGCCGCCGGACAATAGGAAACTATTGGGCGGAGCTAGCTGTCACTGCTAGCTCTGCACAATCGTTTTCTATTAACTTTTTTCTACTTTTTTCACTCTTTTTCTGTTCTGCTCGGTGCCTCTGAGGGACCGAGCAGAACAGCCGAGCCAAATGCCGCTCGGCGGCATTCGGCTATTCTCTCACTGCTGTTCGGGATCTTTCAGAATAGCCCGAACAGCAGTGTGAAGCCTGCCGGAGGTTCGGCTCAGCCGATCCAGATGTTGGATCGGCTGAGTCGAACTCCTTCTGCACTTTGGGTCAGCCGAACATGCTGAGCATGTTCGGCTGATCTGAAGCCACGCCAAGCAAGCCGATGTACGGCTGAAATCAGCCGTACCAGCCTGAAGTGAATAGCCGAACAGTGTTCGGCTCACTTCACTTCTGATCGGTCATTCACTCGGCTGCCCTCGGCAGCTTTGTGAATAGACCCCCCAATGTGTGAAGTCACACTTCTATAGTGCAGTATTATAGCCATTTACATCTAAGTTCCAAACTATCCGATCCTTCCAAGAAGAGCTCAGCAACAAAAGATAATACTCATGGTATTTGTACTTAGATGTGACTTTAGAATCAGTTGTTACACATTTCCATTTTATAATCATTCATCCATTCCAATAGTAAATTAAAAAGCATATTGTCTACTTTTTCCTGCCCACGCACTTCCTCTTTTGTAGAAACTCACCATTTCATCTTCTTAATTATTCAATAACTTTATAACTTAGCAATTAGGTGCACAGCCTGCATATAAAATGACAAAGCTGACCGCAGGTACATTACATTTTTCAAAATTACATGGAATTTGTTTACACAAAATTACATATTGACAGATTTTGATGGAATTTCGGTGAAACTTTAACTCCTTTATTTTCCTGGTTTTAGATCCGGAATCATATTTTGACTAGTCCACCCTTGTGTTAATATGAAGGCCATTGGGATTCAGTTCCTGGGCTTACACTTTCTCACTAATCTTTTATAAGGGACTCATATCCCTATGGAGTAACTGTGTCACCCTCATTATTAGATTTTCTTTATCTGTAGTTTATCCCATGATATCATATTTATACCCATAACTCCTGGTGAAGCAGACTTCTGTTCTGATAAAAGCATTTCAGAGAAACCCATCAAAATACCACCATTAAATCACGTGAATATCAGCATATTCTGGTAGGATTAGCTACAAAAGGAGGATGTCCAGACGAACTAAGAGCTTTGGATGGGACAACGTACATGTGACACAATTGCGTCTGTGAGGGATGGAGCTACACGCATGAGAGAGCTGGAAGTAACTGGTGTATCTCTAGCTCCACATAGCTATGCTGTACATTCCGTGTTGTGGGACATAGCACACACAGATGTGCCTGAAATCTTTTTATGTGGTTTTAATTTAATAAAGATATTTTATGCGATGTACGCATCCCTCCTTTCTTGTCTCTTATTGTTGTGCTCGTGAGGTGTGTTAAGGAAGGATTTGCCCACCGCTACTCCCTAAGAGTCCTATGTATTGGGAAATGTCCTTCTATCAATTACCAATCTTTTCATCAAGCGCTTAATATCACCTACTTTTAAGGGGTCCTACACACCTGAAGAGTGCATCTTTTACATAGAGGTGTGAAGGTGAAGAGCACTTTGGTTTTGGCACTACTTGTGAAGATTTGCACACTACAGCACTCAATTCACCCAGCAGATAATATACAGCATATTTTCTCCTGTTTTGGGGGCTTTTTAGTTTATTTTCTTCAACTTATGGATCTTTCTAATGTGAATTTGATTGATGAGATCACTTTTCACACAACTGCATATTTATTAATCCCTAAGGCCTGGTTCACACCTGGGCGTTTTACAGTGCGTTCCTACGCGCTATAAAACGTTCAACATGTGAAAACCAATGATTGCCTATGGGCATGGTTCCCACCTGGGCGTTTTACAGCGTGTAGGAACGCACGGCAAAACGCCCAAAGCAGTACAGGAGCTTGTTTGGGGCGTATTATCCGTGCGTATCCATTAGGATACAGCCAGATAGCCCTCGGAAACGCGGTAAAAACGCACGGCAAACGCGCATATTCGGTACGCCTAGGTGTGAACCCAGGCTTAGAGCTGCATTTATGCTTGCAGAACCAGGTCTGCACATACTTGTAGAACTACAAGTGACAGTTCAGCTGCAAGTCTGCAGCTAAACTGTGACAGAACCATTGTATTTTATCATGGCTATGTGCCACCACTATGTTTCCCCCCCTAGGGACATCTGCAAATAAGGACTCTAAGTTTGTCTTTCATTTCAATGCATTTTCATTTTTCTTTTACATCTAAGGAACACTGCAAAGTGAACTTTAACATATCTTGGAATCTGTAATATTAATAGTACATTATGCTTTTCTGGTTACCTTCCAAAACAGATCAGGGATTTCCTCCAAGGTCCTGAAAACAATGCATGTCTGGTTACATGGAGAACTGATTTGGCCACTGCATTGTACAAAGACTCCATAAGATATGTCATCATTTTTAAACCATGCTGAGGACATTAGACTAAATCCTAAAATGAGAGACAGAATAAAGGAGAGGGCCGCCCACAGAGATCCCATACACGACACCATCGGTAAGGAAGATCGATAAATCCAGCCATTTATACCAGCCTGAAAGACACAATTTAGTAGGTCTGTATGACCTAAGCAAGACATATGGTTACACATAAGAGCTATTTAAGTTCACAACTGTCTTCTGGTTTTCTTTCTTCCACAGTATATTTTTTGAACCAACTTTTTTTTCTACAAACAGTATCACAAGTTGCATTTACAATACACACATGAATCCAATCATTTGTAATGATTTCAATATTTAGTAGACATCAATATAGAGCGTGCTTGCAAAAGAAAAGGAACTATACTTACTTATCTAACAGCCCATGTCTCCTACTTTTGTTCTATTCCAGTGTTGTAGCATTAGACGATTCAGCATTCAACACTTCTGGAAGTGTTAGATGCCTATGTCTCCAGCCATGCACTTGTTTCATCTAGGTGCCCATACTGTTCTTCAATTCAGTTTTCCTACGATAACCCACAGTAAGACCAATCTTTTTTTCATTCTTTCCGCCTTTGCTACTTTTGGCCACTTCACTTTCGATTTTTCTTTGTGTTACATTGTTTTCTCTTTCGTTAGGCTCACAATCTCTTTCTGTTTTTCTTTGCTTCCCTTCTATGTCTGCCCGGACATTGATCCCTAAAATGTATGGATGCAGCCAACATTTGCAAATCCCATTGCTCATACCATTTGTACTGCCACATATAGGACATGACACTGAGATATAGAAATATAACTATTTCATAGCACCTTTTAAATTGCATATGTACATTCATAGTGTTCACATGATTGGTTATAATCCTGTTGATTGTACACCTCTATGTATCTCAGTTAATTATCTAATACTGCCAATATTGCAAAGTGCTGTTTTATTATAGTATCCCCTTCAGAAAACTCAATTAATATATTGAAACAGAAAAATAATATTCTGGAATTGAGACCGGGGTGTGTGTCTACACGAATTCTGCAAGATCTCCATGCTATCCTAACTCCTCCCTTCCCACTTGTGAATTCCTACTTCTCCTTTTACATTCTTGATATAGTAATATAAACCAAAAATGCAACAGGCAGAATGCAAACCCCTTGTAATGGCAGCTGTATACAGAGAGACATCTCCAGATTTTAGTGTGGTGACCTTGAGAGATAAAAGAAAGATTGTTTGAAATCTAAGCTACCAACATGCTGCCTAAAAAAAATGATACATTAAACTATGTATTTTGCAGTTTACAGTAGCCTCAGGGAAGCACTGCATGCAGGGAAGTCTGCAAACAATTTTTTAGAAGCACTGCCCCCAAGAATCAACAAAGACATGTAGAATCCAACCCCAAGATTCCAAATGTCCATTTTAAAGTAAGCTATATAAATAAAATATGCAAGCACAAGGCATAGCTATGTTTTTTTTTTGTAGAGTGTGGAGATGTGAAAGGCAGGGTTTTCGCTCATGAAAAAGTAATATGTTGAGATGGGAAGGGGAAGTAGATACTGCCTTTATTATAGATATTATTATTTGTAAGGTTTTAGGGCATTATGAATCATGAAATTAAATGCCACCCCTAATACAAATAACACCAACTCATGTAGCAGTAAGTCTCTCTCATTAGTGGTAATCTTTTAAAACTGCCATTAAAAGAAGTTTACATTGGGAAAACGTTAAAATTATATTCTGAGATGCTGAATGACAGTTGAGGGTCCCATACGAAACTCTTTTCTGGAAATCGGCTATTAGACATACAGTATATTATACAGACAAGCAAACACCACCAGGGCCTGGTGTGTACTACCTATACTGCTAAACTGCCAGCACCAAGTTGTACCTGTAAGTACCTCTGTTATTCTTCAAAACAATTTCTGTATGCCTCAGCAGCCACTGAGAAGAATAAGATAAGAATATTTTACTAACCTTTATTTATTTTTTTACTGTATGTGAAAAATTACTAAAATTACATTGTATAGTGTAAAATAGAGCATATGTACAAGCTTTCTAAAAAAATTCAACTCCAGCAAAAACTTTTTATGCAATTTCGGATAGAGTGGGGTAGGTTTTTATTGCTGTCTGTGTCCCTATTGGGAAGATTTCACCTCACGTGACTGCACTCCCTCTGGCTTCATTGTATGTACTGGTGACAGAGGGACAGGAACTGAGTGAAAACCTCTCCAATTGGGTCACAGACAGAAACAAAGACCTAACTGAATTTACCTCTTGCCTATATCAAAATAAAACAAAATCTGCCTGGTGTTAGGATTTAAAAATATTTGGTTACACAACAAATGGGAAAATTTACCAGTCAATTGCAATACACATCTGGGCTCTGTTTACGTTAATTCTAAGATACAATGGTGTATAATATTTTTCACGGAAGAGCGAATCAGGCAAAGTACGGTTTGCAGGAGGTTCGGCTGTGAACTCTATGGGGGTTGAATCTTTCTATTTTTATTGGGCTTTTTCAAGGCTACTTTGCAAACTTTTGTTAAAAAAATACATGGGTAGCTGGCCACTGCAGGCATGCAAAAAAATATAAAAAAATACCGTTCAGTGAGAAGAGGGTCTTTTCATGGGGTTTATAGGGCAATATTGAAAATGCATAAATGCTTTAAATAACTTGCTTGGAGGATGCCTTAATACTGCATGTGAAGTTATGGAGCAGAACATGTTGGTCCTTTCAAACTGACATAAAAATACGGCATGAGGTTCCCCCTAAAATTTAAACCAGATCCTTATCCAGGCATGCAGTCTGGGTGGCCAAGAAAGGGCAATGAGCATGAGATCCCCCTTTATGAACTATACCAGGCTACATGACTTTCAGGATTGGGCAGGTACCTTGCAAGGGGAGGGGTAGCAACACCCCGCTCCTTGCAAGGCACGTTGTCCCAATGTTGAGGTAGAAGGACCTCTTCCCCGCAACATGCATGTGCCCCAAAAAGGATGTTGGATTTTGTTGGAAAGACTTATAGGGATCTGGAAGCCCCATATAGAATAAGGGGCTCCCAGATATCTTTTGTACATTAGAACCCTTTATTACTCATTCCCACAATAATGAAATGTAAATAAACACACACCATGAAAAAGTTTTTTTATTTGCAAAAAAAGTAACTAATGTCCTCTGATGTAAATCCAGCATGCAAGCCAGTGATGTACATCCAGCACCAAATCACAATGACCTGCCACCCAATGATGTTGCCGCTCTGCACTACCGCTGCTAAATGACAGATGCCCAACTGCTATTTGTAAACAACAGCCCCATATTTGGTCCATAACATCGTCCAGGATTCCCAGCACTGTTGTTTACATTCCAGCAGCACCAGGCATCTGTTATTTAGCAGCAACAAGGGGTACTAATACACCCCATAGTCATTCCACAAACCCCCAAATCTTCTCGGTGGACCAGATGTGAGGAAGAGGCCATTGTCCTTCAACATTAGGACTTGGTGCCTTGTAAATGAAAGGTGCCTTGACATTTATCCAGCATTAATTGCGTCGTCCAACATAATCACCCACCACCAGTGCAACATGGTTCAACACAGGACAACCACATCACACCACAGTATGGCCAATAGAACATAATAAAACTGATTTGTGCCATGATCAGCACATTAGCTTTGTTCTCTCCCAGAGCACATCAGTGGCCAGCGTTCAGCATGGCTTGCTGGAGGGAACCAGTCCTGATTGTCTAAATTTCTACAACTTCACAGTCACTACAAAGAGGGAATCCATCTGGGGAGAGGCTGCAGCATTTAAGTTAACATGAACAGTGTGAACCATGTCCAGGATATGTAGAGCTATCTCCTATAAGGAATGGGTTTAGGACACCATAATGTCAGCAATTGGGAAACATGGAGCAGCTCTACCCTCTTGTCTGAAATCCCGCAGCTGAAACCTTGGTGCCCAGTAAAGTTTCTGCCAGAGCCTAGTGGCATCAGGAGCCAGTACTCTAAAACTTGCCATACACTCAGATTATTCTTTTTTTTTTTTTTTTAAGGTAAGCACCATTAACGTGGATTGGGGAATCTTACCCACGATCTATTGTGTTGGCAGCATATTGGCTGCAGTCACAGTTAGGCTAGATGTTTCAAAAGCGGCTCCTTAGACAAAAGCTGATTGAAAAAAAGCGACTTTTGTCAAACTGGTGGTTTTTGGGTGTCTGCAGAACCCCGGTTAAGAAACTTTGATTACAGTCATTAACCACAAACTGTTACCAAAATATAACATTATTCACTATAGTGTTCCTTTAAAAGCTTAAAAAACAGTACACAGTTCACTTTAAAGCCACATTTTAGTTTCTGCCCTGTGTGATTTATCTAGGACAGAAAATGTGATACTATTGTTCATCTGGGAAGGCTGAAAGTAATTACAACCTGATCTCTAACATTCAGTACAAAAGCATTATATCTTGAAAAGTCCAAGCATTCAGGACTTTTCAAAGAGTTTCCAATCCTCAAAACGCACCAACAATGAAATATGGTAACAGCTCTCGTTCAGATCTGCAAATCGCAACAGTGGAGAATGGATTTCAGCACAGGCAAAATGTACAAATATTCTTTTATCATCTAAAAACATTCTAATGAAGAAATCTAAAGAAAATCCCCTTAAAGCTGACTTTCATAAAAAATGTTTTGCCGATAATAATAAAAACTCTTATCTGATCGGAAAAGACCATATCAGATGGCAATCAAATGTCTATGGTCACCTAAAGGTCCATTCAATTGTGAAGGTTGAAACCCAACTGCTGAAAAACCTCTCTCTCTCTCTCTCTCTCTCTCTCTCTCTCATATGATATTTCATATTTCCTTTGTAAAACTTACATTTAGTCAGTGGAAATTGTGAAGTGTGTCCCCCATCTTCTGAGCCTGTGCTTTCATCCTGATCATCCACAGAGAATGACCCTTTTGAGCCCTGGACCTACAAATGTAGCTGCTTGTTCCCTGTGTTATCTCCGTTGACTTTTCTATTTTCTATTTGCTTTTCTGGCACAGATGAAAGAGGTAAATGTCCTTCAAGTGTGTGCTCTCTTTTCTGTGGCATTACCAAAGCAGTTGAATTCCTCCCTCGATAATCTTT